ATTGAAAAATATTTTAAGACTGAGGCACACCCATTCAATAATTTTCATTCATTTAAATATATATTGAAATTTATTCCGTGTATTGTTTATGAAATAGTGAGCTTTAATGCTTTATTCATGAAACTATCTAAGAAATGGATTAACTTTTTGTCATTATCAATTCGAAAATGGTTATGATTGAGAATTCAGTCTCGTGGTATTGTTGCCGATTCAGTTCAATTTGGGTTTTACTGCTAACCATATAATTCTTGGTATACATAATTTTTTACTTTGCGAGTCGGCCGTTGCCTCCCAACGTAAATTTTTAATGAATCCCAAGATCTAACTCGAGAGAGAGCGACATAGAGTTGGCCATGGTTGAATACATCCTTTCGTAAATCAATTCCAATTTTGTCGAATGTTTGCCCTTGGGATTTATTAATCGTTATTGCAAATGCCAATTTTATTGGAAATTGTCTTCTCGTAAAAGTGAACGGATATATATTTTCACAACTTAGCGTAATTCGATTCAAAAAGACGATGTCTCCCGTTTTGTCCCCAGTCAAAATTTCGCAGCGTAACAGGTTTATTCCGAGTTCCAGAATAAGAAGGCGAGTTCCAGTGCGAAGACCATCATTGATGCTCAGATTCCTTATTAACATGACAATAGAATATTGTCGTACGCGTAACTCGTATGGTGGAAGTCCGGCTGGAGCTAATGAATTCAAATACTCAGGAACCAAATCCACGTTAATTTCGTCATTGGTGTTACAATTTTCGGTACTGTCTACGCTCGTGTAGATCCGTTCCGTAGCTATATCTAGTAATTCTACAACTTGTTTATTAATTTCATCCACATCTACATTTCTTGCTGCTAGAATGGCACATTTAGCAGCTCCTTTGAAATTTCGCTGTTCTAATAAACTTCTATAGATATCTTGTGCGATATCAATATCACTCGTATCAAGACTGTGAGTTGGTGAATCTAGGTTGTCTTCGTCGTCATTCAAATCACCATTACCAACATCTAATAGAAATTTTGTAAATTCAATCTCTTCAGCCAATGTCCTCATGTTCTTTATTAATGAAAATATTGTGAACAGTCTCCAAAGAACACTGAATTTGATTGATAAATTAACTGTTTCCCCTCGTGTGCTCCGAATATTTACAGGAAGTAATTGACGAAAATCACCTCCTAGGACAATGATTTTGCCCCCAAATGGTGAGGTACTACCCATGATATCTTGTAACAGTCTGTCAAATACTTCTAATGCATAACGCGGAGCCATTGGTGCTTCATCCCAAATGAAGATATCAGTATCTTTGAGATCGTTGGCTTCTTTTGTTCCTAATTTAATGGAACACGTAGAATCTGAGTATAAAGGAACCGGCAGACCAAATGTTTTATGTACAGTTTTTCCTTGAGGTAATAAGGTTGCAGCAATTCCAGTGAATGCCATCATGTTTACTTTCTTTTTCTGACTAATAATTAAATACCATAACGTGATATAAATGAATGTTTTTCCTGATCCTCCAGGTCCATCGATGAAAAATAATCGATTGATTTGGTTATTATCTTGATGTAAACATTCCAAAATTTTATTGACAATCATGCGTTGATCTTCATTAAGTTTCTGATAATATGAGGCTCCTCGTTTTTCCATTTTTTCGATATATTCTTCATCAATTATTTGCATTTCTTCATCTATATCTTGTGGTAAAGATGGATAATTATTCATATTTTTTCCTTCTTCTTGTAAAAAATATGCAATTTGTTGAAGAGTTTTTTGTTCTGCCTTTTTATGATGCAGATTATAGTTGTAAGAAAAATCTTCCGACACTGAAGTTTTAAATTCCTCCCAAAGGTTTTCCGGGTTAGGGGTTGGCAGTGGACAAGAATTCGAACGAACAATCTTCGTAATTGTTACGGCATCATCCATATTACAGCTTCACACATAGCTCTGCTCCATTCATAATCATCAGCAATGAGTCCTAAACAGATACAAGCTTCAGTGAACGAAGATTGTAGATTGCCATTTACTGTCCTCAATTCTGCGAAATTTTTTGCTCCTTTTACCATCAAAAGTAATAACCGTAAATGATATAATTCTATTTGTGATGGATTGACAGAATACATTCGACCGATACTGTTGAATTGTGCTTTTCGTTTAGTCCATGGACCAACATACGTTCCGTTTCGTTTGCTTTTTACAAAGGTGTAATGGGATGGAATGTCAACGTATAAATAATTCTTTGCATTTATGTCTCGAATATTCAGGCAAAAGTAATCCAACAGCATATTCTTTTGTTCTACAATTGTATCCAACGTTGTATTTTCCTGATCTGGGTTGATTGTTAAATTTTGTTGATTTGGCAGATGAATTGGTAATCTAATAACTGGATGACTTTTTTCTTGTAATGTTTTTCCGAAAATCCTCCAACACGCTTCAACTGGTCCGACATATCTTGCCTCTATATGTTCCTTGATTTCATCATGTACTATTTCCGTTATATTTGCTGCTGCTCCGTGAATATGAAGTGTTGCTGCATCATGACCTTTGTAAACATACTTGAATAAGTATTTTACGGACTTGATACTTGATACGATTTCTAAGTTGATATGACAGTTGAATTTATAAAGTAGGATAGGTGAATATGGAACAACGAAGCGATTATTTATCACGTAACCATTTGGGCGTTCATAGTATTCTCCAGTATTACATCGTTTATAGAATGCATGTTCATTTTCATCCAAAATAGTTTTTTCATTGAATTTCTTCGGAAATTTTTTTGAGCATCTGCCATTTTGTAAACACCAGTCCCCACATGGTCCGTGTATCATGTTCTGAGTTACTATGCCAAATAATTTCGGTTTTTTCTGGAGATTTGGTATTTCAGCTGATATGAATTTATCGATGGTTTCGGGACATGCTATTTTATGATTTCATTGGAGCGTCACTAATAAATGTATGTGTGGTAAGCCTCTTTTTTGAAATTCGATGACATATACGTAGGCTTGAACTTTTCCAAATATTTTTTTTTTCGTTATTTCATGAATTAATGCTTTTACTTTCAAGTTGAACACTCGTGCTACTAAATCTGGACGGTCGGACGGTTGCTGGTTAAATTTTAAATTTTCACGTATTTCCTTCCAATTTGGGTTACACGTCATTGTGATGAATAAATCTGGTTTTCCATATTTTCTTACAATAGCCAATGAAAGTTGATGGAAGAATAATCATCTTTGCAATTGTTCCATTTGTTTCTCGAACTTTTGTTTGTAGATGATCTAAAACTCTTTGATAACTTTCAGCGCGAAGATTTTTTTGTTGATCACGACAGTATTGAATTCTATCTCGCTCAATCTTAACATAATTGTCTACAATCCATTGTTAGAAAAGTCATCCACCATGTAGAATTGGATTGAATGTGTCACTGATAGCAATTAAATTTTTAACATATGCAGCTGTTGCAATTCTTCTTGTACTATCGATGCGCTTTAAATCTCAGTGCCAACCCAATGTTCCATATGGATAGAATAATGGATAGATCCATGGTTCAACTTTTGGGTCCATTGAACTTACATACTGTAATTTATTGGTGGATTGATTACGAATTGTAACGCATGTATCCGGGATATCTCCATCAGCCGTCATTGTAAAAATGGCTGCAACCTCATTACATTTTTGTGGATTATATCGGCGTGCATTGATTCCTTTTTTTGGTATGAATGGCATTGATACCTCTGGAATTGGTTTCTTTTTTTTTTGATTTTTTATTTAGTTTTTCAATTTCTTCCTTCATTATGACATATGATTTTGCGAAAATATTATTTTTTCGTATTATATTGTCGGTAATTTCTAAAATGTCGTCATTTAGTTCAGAAAAAGTTTCCATTCTTTGGTGATTTGCTTCCATTGGATCGAGTATAAATAATTTTTTCATTTTTTTATTTTATTATTTATTGCTTCTAAGGAGAGAAGATCCTCCTATAGCAAGGGGGGTTTACAAGATATGTGTGTTTTTTTTTTCTTTTTAGTAACAAGTGAATAAGATTACTTATAAGGTTAAAGATCGTATATAAAAGGAAATTTGAGATATGCCTTACAGACTAGGATGCATATCATTTGTGAGATTGTTTGTAAGTTTGTTTGGTTGTTTGGAGAGAACAATGGATTCAGGGGAGGTAGTTGAGTTATAAGTTGTTTGTGATAATATATTGGAAGATATTCGACAGAGTCAGCTCAAGGGCATGGTCGTGGTGGATTAAAAAGCTGGGAACAGAGAAAGAACGATAAGTTTAAAAGGGAATAGATTCACTTCAGGTTGAAATCGCAGATTAAAAAACGATAGTTTTTTCTCGCAAGTTGAAACATTGGTTGGCAAAGTAAAGAATGTCTTTCATCGTTCTATGATTATCTGTACATAACAAAGTCAGGGAAATTTGATCAACCTGGAGGATACCTAAGTAGTTTTCAATATATTTGGCTAAGTAATGGGATCTGAGGGGTGAGTACAAGGGGCATTTGATAAGGATGTGGGAGACCGTTTCGAAGGCATAGGAGCCTTGCGAGAGGCAGAAGGAACAGAGGAGGTTGGGGTTTACTTTTGAGTTACCATCTATAAATGAGAATCTACAGTGATGGAGGTTGGCTAGTCTCAACTGGGCTAGGGATCTCTTCAATTGGAGGGGGAGACGCAAGTACAGGTAGGGGGGGACAGGGTCATACAAGTATCTGGTAATAGGGAGTTGGAGGGAGGAGGAAATCAGGTACTTTTGGTAGTCCAGTACTCTGAGGTGGTATTCAAACCTGTTGAAGATCGTCTCGGTGTGGGCTTCCCAAACATCAGGATCGAGGTTGTCTAGGAGGTCCGGTGCTTCCACAAGAGTAAGCAAGCTTTTTAAGTACGACAGCCAGTTGTAGGGGGATGTCCCCTCCATGTTCACCAGCAGTTCTCTCAGTCTAGTTATACATATCTTTGGTATACGCTCGTCGTCCATTCGGAGAATTCTGGAATTTTCAGGTTTGCTTCATGGATCTGAGGGCTAGATGGGTTTGACCAGATTCCATCCTCACAGCCCAGTGAGCAGTACCTCTTGGAAGAGAGAGGAGACGTTTGAAAAAATCAGTCTGGATAACCTCGATGTCCTCCCAGGCATCAATGGCCCACGCCGGGGCAGCATACAAGAGAGTCGTAGCAACCATGCTGTCGAAAAGTTTCAAATATGAAGCCCAGCTATCGCATTTGGATCTGTTGATAATGGCCAAGGTGCTCAGGGATGCCGCTTTGGCCTTTTGAATGGCATTTTGCGCAGGTGTTTTGAATCTGGCGGTGGTAGAAATACGGATACCAAGGTAGGTGTAGGAATGGACTTGCTGGAGAGGTGTCCCGTTGTATTTGGTGAAATTGACGTTTATGCGCCTTGGAATGCCCGCTTTCGTCAGAGTTAAAATCTGGTTTTTAGACGTATTTACAGCAAGATCTTGGTCGGAGCAGTAAGCGTGGAAGGTCTCTAGAATTTTGCCAAGGCGAACGTGGGTATCAGCCAGGAATACCGCATCATCAGCGAAAAGCTGCATCAGGATGTCCGAGCGTCCGTTTAGGTTGATCCCGCTGCAGCCCCTGGATCTGAAAAAGCTTTCGAAGTCAGAGATGTACAGTAGGAAAAGCAGCGGGCTAAGGGTTTCCCCTTGCAGGACACCTTCCGTCACTTCAAACATGTTGGAGAGTTGACCTTGGCTCCTGATTTGGACATTTGCCTGGGAGTACAGGGAGATGAGAATGTTGATAACCTTGGAGCTTACTCCAATATCTCTCAGCTTTCGCCACAAATTTTCGTGTGGGATACTGTCGAAAGCCTTTTTAAAATCTACAAGGACTGCGTAGACTTCTCGCTTATCCAGACGTAATTGGAGGTGGATAGCCGTGAAGAGAGAAAAAATAGCGTCTGTATAACTGCGGCCTCTCCGGAAACCTTGCTGAGACTCAGGAAGAAGGCCAGCCTCTTCGACCCAACTTTCGAGTCTTCTCCTGATAATTTCAGTGAATAACTTAGTCATTGTGTTTCCGAGTGCGATACCCCTGTAATTTGCTGGATCTTCACGGTCGCCCTTTTTGAAGATCATGGTCATGATGACTCGGGACCAGGCGGGCGGGACCTGCTCGAGGGTGAGTACGGAGTTGAAGAGGAGGAGAAGTTGGGATTTCCATTCTTGAGGAAGGTTTTTGAGGATTTCGTTGGGGATGCCATCAGCTCCAGGGGATTTCCTGTTCTTCAGATTTCTCAGACTGAGTTCCAGTTCATCCAGAACGATTTCTTTGTCCAGTTCCCATACTGAGTAAGCTGGTATCTCTGAAGTGAAGTAAATTCTGGGGGGATACACTCCCGCGTAATATTGGTTCCATCTCTCAAGGGGGAGGCAGTTGGGGGGGGGGCATCCATTTGATGGTTTGAACCTCTTCACTGCTGCCCAAAATTCTGGAGAACCTGTCAGGTTGCGAAAGCATCCAGAAGTGACTGGGTCCATATATCCTTTTTCGCTTCTACTGTGGAGGAGTAATTCTCCTTGAGGCTGACGTATAGGATTTTGTCTTCGTAGGAGAAATGAGACATAAAGCAGTTCCTCAGGGCCTGCTTTACATCGTTCTTCAAGGCTGAGCACTGATCATCAAACCAAGGCTTCTTAGGTGGACGAGTTTGGAGATGATGTGGCGGATTGGGACTAGAGGTCATCTTCTTGGTCATGTTGGAGGATGTAGCTGCCTTCCAGATGACTTCAATTAGTTCGTCGTAGATGTTCTGGTCATTTAGGGGATTTGAGTCACACTGTTCTGGGGGAGTACTGTCCATAGTCGCGAGGAAAAGGGCTAGGTTGTTTGGGTCCCAGAAAATCCTTTGAACTGTTGATGGGGAGGCTTGGGCGTGGGGTAGAGGGTAAAAGACTGGATTGTTGACTGGATCGTCTCTCCAGAGACTCAGCAGCAAGGGGAAGTGGTCAGAGGAGAAGATGTTGGGCAATACCCTAAGGTCGTGGACATGGATGTGTCCTTCGATGGAGCTCCAGATTGTATCGTTTGCTGACTCACCGTTCCTGGAGAAGGTAAAATGCGCCGGGATGTCGCTTCTAGTTCTTCCATTTAAAAGGATCATGCCGTGGTTGTTCATGAAGTTGAGGGTGGGGTCGCATCGATCGTTTGGTTGTAAGTCGGCGTTCTCCATTTGAGGGGCGAGGTGTGTGTCATCAAATATGCTTTGGTCCAGGTCGATTACTCTACCAACTCGGGCGTTCCAATCCCCACCAAGAATAACAGGAATGTCTTCTTGAGAGGTCGACACCTCCTCCAGCGTGTCCTGCAGCATGGAAAGAGCCAAACCATAGTTGAAAGTCTTATCCGATATGAAATAAACTGTGCCTAGAATAAGGGTTGATTCGTTGAAGGCTATTTTGATAAAGATCCACCAGTGTTCAAGGTCCAGTAAAGTGGCCTGGATTCAATTCTTCACCCCAACCAGTATGCCGCCACTACCTCTTCCCCTGGATTTGTCTCTTGTGGCGTTTGACCAAAAACAGATGTAGTTCTCTAGGTAAGAAGGAATGGTGGGGGGAGGGTTTAGTCTCATGGTCTCGGTGATGCGATGATATCGGGGTTTGATGTCTCCATCAGGTCGCTTAGGTGGCAAAGACCGTTCGAGTTCCAGAATATTATATATAAGTCGTTGGGAGAGTTTTCGATCCTAGTAGGTACTGGGTTTGTTGTTATTTTTACCGGGTTTGAAGGCTCTCTTGTTGAAAATTTTGGGGTCTAGGA